ACTGTATTGTTTTATACTATTTTGTTTCTGGGAAGTTATCAGAGGACAGTTCATCAATCCAGTGCTGTTGTTTTTTCACTTAGAAGTGACTCAGCTCCTCTGCTGGCTGTGAGCTACATGGCATTTTGCAGGGTGACAATGATAATGGAGCTCTTCGATTAATCAAAGTACATATTAAGCTCAGGCTAGAACTCCATTGATCTGCTGATTGTGTTTAACCTTTAATCTTTATACAATCATACTACTTTTTTGCTTAAACTATTGATGCTCTTCCTTTATTTAGTGTTTACCACATGCTTTACAGTTACTGGTGGTGAAAAATAGCTGCTTCAACTGACAGAAAAATCTGGGACACTATAATGTATGTTTACGGCCACTATTTGGTGAAGTACATTTGGCATCCTTAAGATTGCTGTATCAACCTCAGACTGTCATTTATTTTTTTGCAAAAGGTGTTTTGATTTTCAATGTAATCTTTTTAGTTTTCACAATGTTTATTTGTTACTGTTGATAATTACTAAGTCTATATAGTTATCAAATTGATTGAATTTACTTTTATGGTAGACATGGACTAAATCTTTCCTCAATAATACATGTATTTTTTTAAATGAAAGAAAGATGAGAAGAGCAAAAATAGCCACAGCTGTACCGATAAGTGATCAGATTCATTTGATGTTATTTAGTTATCTGCACATTTATAAATAAATTGTCATTTTAATTCATCTCTCCATTAAGTTACATTAAGGGGTTAGTGATGACACATTTTGAGTTACTTGAGCTTCATAAACCTTTCATTGGCCTGAACTTTGAAAAGGACCTCGGGTGGCTTGGCCTGCACACGAACACACCCATCTATGTTTTGAATCCCAGCTAAAGCCATGTCTTCCTGTATCTTTCCACCTTCATTGACTATTCTCAGACAGCCAAACACTACGTGTTTAGTAAACACAGAGTCGAGGGAGGTGGACTGACTGCTTTGCAGAAACAGTACACTGAAGACTTCTGTTTGTGGCATGTCAAGCCTTGGTCTCAGAGAGTATGAACTTCACTCCGTCAAAAACTGTAATGAGAAAAGGCTGATGAAATGGTTTATTTAAAAAAAATGGTGTTGATTTAGAAACATGTTGAAATGTGTAAAGGCCCCTACTCACCAAGCTGACACCAAAGAACACGTCCCGACGGAACACGACTGTTGTGTCGCCTCACGTCTTCTGCGTCTTGGCCAACAGTCGCACTGGAACACACCGCAAAGACTTCAGCCGACGGCCAAGTAGCACGTACGAATTGCGCATGCGTGAGTGGCAATAACTCTCCTTACCAGCAGGCGAGAGTAGTGTGTATTCGTCATTCAAAAGAGGCAACCGGAAGACAGACTGCGTGATATATACAAACTTCAGCTCTCTGAAGCAGAAAGAAACAATTTAAGCATTGTGGCTGGCAACCTTAAAGTACTGCTGCTACCACATTCCATGCATCAGTATGTATAATCCAAGATTATATTCATATACAACATCATAACACTGACAGGCAAATTATGTATCATCATGTACATCTGTATCTTCTGGCTTTTATTGTAGTATAGCTAATTTTATCTAATGGCTGTAGTATGAAGGTACGAAATAAAGTTTTGTATTTTGCAGTAGCGGTAAAAAGTGGTTTATTATCAAATGTAGAACTGTACAATGTAAACAATCGACTAAAATACAATAAGATGAAAATAGTAAGTAATAAGCCTACAATAAAAAAATAATAGCCACATCGTCCAGGGTCCTGTCCGTTAAATACTTGAAGAAGCTATTGTCCACCTCATGCAGGAAGTGTGGCAGCAAATTACGTGGCAACTGAGTTGGTCTTCGGTTTCTTCATTCCAGATCGCCATGATGTAAAATAAATTCTTGTGTCCAGGTGAGATTAAAATGAAAAATAATAGCCGTCTGTGTGCCTTCTTCACTTCCGTTTCGCTTCTCATGCACTGATTCGCTAAGCTGAACAGCCAATCAGAGTGATTTATTTTTCAGACAGCTCCCCGATTCGACATGTTGAATCGGGGGCGGAAGGTGTCGGCACGGCCGAAAAGACACGACGGTGTGGGTTCTTATTATACATCCATGTGCGGGACACACCAATCTGAGTATGGCGACAGGACGCTCATCGACGGCCAGACATCTATCGACGGCCGAAATCGGCTTGGTGTGTAGGGGCCTTAAAAGACAAATCTGAAAAACAGAAAACGTGAAAACGGTGGTAAATCTAAAAATCTACTTTTGATGGTTAATCATTGTGAAAAAACCATAGGAAAAAACACATCACGTAATAGTTTTCAATCAAGGCAAGGTTTACTGAAATATGCAAAACCAAATCTTTGATTTGAGCTATTCCATGCTAATGCTGAGGTATTCTTGAGATGGACCACTTTGTACAAAGTGTGGTCTGACCATATCCAAAGGCAAAAGTGTTTATAACATTTGAACTTGCAACACTTGAAGGTGGGAAAGTATCCTGCTGTCAAGAGGGGAAGACATGATTATTTAGAAATGTAGGTGGCGCACACATTCATACTTTCTCTTTTGAAAAAATCTATGGCGTTGCACTTCTTTGTGAACCAGGAAGAAGCCTTCTTTAATTCACAAAAATAAATAAAACTGGCTGAAAGTGGGTCTAGTATGGTGGCTTTGGAGAGTTTCATAAAAATTATTGGACCAGTTCTCCCTAATTTGTCTGTGTAAAGGAAGAGAGTTTTATACCCTAAAGGTCTCAAAAAGCTTTGTTTAAAGAACACGGAGCCTTTTAAACTTTAATTCAGTGTTAACATCATTCATTCATGCCAGTTTTATACTAGAAGGTTCATTGTTTTAAGGTAGGTTACTTAACATTTTTTGACGATTTCTCTGGAAGACAATCTGTCCTTCCTCGGAGAAATCAATTATCTCCTTTCTTCTGGCTATTAAAATATGTATTACTCTTGTTCTCGCAGGTGGAAGCTCCGTTCATACCAAAGTGCAGAGGCCCAGGGGACACCAGCAACTTCGACGACTACGAGGAGGAAGAAATCCGCGTTTCTGTAACGGAAAAATGCGGGAAGGAGTTTGCAGAGTTTTAGGATGCGTTACCATGGATATATCAGGGAAATAAGGGGATCTTTGCACTCTTCTAAAGACTTGGGATGGAGCAGAGACCATCGTTTTTCAGATCTACTACATAGTCCCTTCATTCCATAAGGCTGAATGAGGTCGCCATGATCCTTGGGTGCCGATAACCTCTCACTGTCACGTACACCTGCGTATTAAAGCAGACACACCACTTTTTCTTTTCTTTTTTTTTGTACCTATCCACCGTTTTGTTTTTTTTACTTTGAAGCAGTTAGTCTAAGATGTTGTTCTCCCCTTTTAAAATGTGATATTTTTCAATTTATGAGGAAAAACTGAGACAATGGCCAATAATAGTCCACACATTGTAACTGACATGGTGACAGTTGGGTTGTAAGCTATTCCCTCCAGTTGTCAGCGGTGTGTGCTTTATGGTCTGTTACAAATCACATTAGCTATTATAAAAAAAAATTCTGGCCAGCTTTCAGAGGTAGCATTCGTCCTATGTGCATATCTGTCAGTTTTTTTAAGACATTTGAACACGTTGAGTGTTAAAAGCATGACCAAATAGACAACTTTGGGTGACACAAGAAGAAAGGTCCTTTCCTTTCTTTGCTTTTTGCCTAGAGAGCCAAGTCCTGAGGCTCCCACGAAAGTATCCATTCACTGTCCTCTTGGTATTCTGACCCAGGCACAGCAAGCCATCGCAGAAAATGACAAACCTTGTTACATTGGTCAAATGCAAATCCAGTTGTTTGTTTGATCCTTTTGGATCTGTTAGTCACATGTAAAGTTTGTCATTTGGTATCTAACTTTTCTTTTGTCGCTGTGTCTAACATTATAGTCATATTGTCCCTAGATTTCAGGTCTGCGTATAAAGACCTTTGTTACGAGTCTGTGGAACAATGTGACTTCAGTAAACGGAAAAGAGTGAAGTGGAATCCTTTTGAGGATTTTTATTGAGTGTAATGTTAAGTTGAGAACGTCGGTGTGAATAGTGTTGAGGCTCTGTGCCTCGACATTGTCAGTGAAACCTTAAAAGTACAGAATTTGTAATGTATTAAATCAAAGATGTTTTAAAATCTTAAAAAACAGGAACGCAAAACTGCATATTCACCATATTCTCCCTGTTACAACCCCTGACAGATTTCTGTTTCATTCTTATCAAAGAATGTAGATTTGCAACTTATAGGTATGCATATTTGAAGGCTTGATTTAAAGGTACAGTTTTCCTCACAATACACTGGCTAAAATAAAGACTGCTCCTTTGTATCACATGTAACCCTGTTATTGTTAATCTCATTACATCATACGTATATACATTGTTTCATATATGTTTTTATTTATACACATTAGAGATGCTAATAAATTTTATTTTTAAAAGTGTTTACGTTGTGATACTCTCCATGCATTGTCAGACTGACATTCGATTCATTTGAACACTTGCATAGAAATTGTATAGCCATGTCCCAACTCATCCACATAGTCCAGACATGGTAGGACCCCAGAACAATAAGCATTTAAGAGTCAGCTAATTAGAGCAAACCTGCATGCCTGGAAATGCATATATTAACAATTTGGTACCAACTCATTAAAAGGGAAAATAAGTCGTTAAAGTATATGCACTTACAAAAAATAGATTTTTTACACTATTTGTAAAACAATAAATGCCGACAATTTTGCGAGGATATAACCCCGTCTGGCTATTTAGTCATTTATTTATATAACTAAAACTATTAGTACAATATATAATTAATGCGGTATTGATGCTCAATTAAACCACACTATGCAAACAATTAATTTGTATTGTTTAAAAATGATTGCAATGTATATATAGGCCTACTGTATATTTTTAATATGATGATTGACAGTTGTGGCAAAAAAGAATCTCGTGAATTTGGACCTTTTGTTTTGCCGTAGTCCTTCCATTGCGTTGGTCTATGGGTAATGTAGTACAGCGTCAGACACGTGGGGCGTTGCGTTTCCAACTTTTCAGAAAGATGGCGGGTCTGGAGCTGCTGTCGGACCAGGGATACCGTTTAGATGGAAGAAAAGCCACCGAGCTGCGGAAGTTTCAGGCCCGCATGGGTGTGTTCGCTCAGGCGGACGGCTCGGCGTATTTAGAGCAGGGAAACACCAAGGCTCTGGCTGTGGTGTACGGGCCGCATGAAGTGAGTAGCTGTGGATGGAGAGGGTTAGCCAACTGTAACAGCAAGCATGTATAATAGCGGTAATGCAGGACGGGTTTAATCTGGCAAAATTGATTACGGTTATTGGTACAATAAAGTTTCATGTGTTAGACAAAAAAATGTTTTTATTTGCATGTGTCAAGAGAAAATGTCATGCAAAACAATACAGGCTGTTGTTGTGTTGGACAGTTCATCGTGTTTTGAAGATATACACTTCCGCTGATGCCTATCATAAGTTATCACACAGTTCAAAATATACGACTGCCTAAATTCTGTTTCCCCCACCCACATTTGAATTGTCTAGGCTGGACAAAACGGTTAAAATCAATATCACACAACTCATATAAGCTTAAAGAGATGTTTTGATAACAATACAATCCCTGGGCATCTTTTCAGGTACATAGGCTACTATGGTTACATTCTATTGAAAGAAGTCCAGTCCAACAACTCTACCAAATTATTGGTCTTCGAATCTTATAACGACTAGTATCTGTAAAACGTCCTGCAAAGGGATGTATTTTCAAATGTTTCTTATTTGAAGTGTACAAACTTTGAAATGTGTTTCCCCCATGCAAGTATTATATAAAATCACATTAAGTAGTTTAGTTTAATATCACTGCATATGTCAACCTCAAATCAATAATAAACATATAGTTAACTTAATAGCTCTATGATGGTGTTAACTTAAAATTATTATTTTTTGTTTATGAAAAATGTATGGCTTAACTTTTATATTGGATTGCATTACATTTTACAGGTGTACCTGATAAAGTGCTGTGTATAATCATTGAACGTTGAATGGAGAAGGCCAGAAGTGTTGATGTATTTGTCGACCCTTAGGTACGAGGCGCACGCAGCCGGATTCGTCATGATCGAGCTGTTATCAACTGTCAGTACAGCATGGCCACCTTCAGCACGGCGGAGCGGAAGAGGAGACCCCACGGGGACCGCAAGTCCACTGAGATGAGCCTCCACCTCAAGCAGACGTTTGAAGCCGCTGTGATGACCCAGCTCTACCCACGCTCCCAAATAGATATCTATGTCAAGGTAAATGATGAGCAAGAAATAAGGGATTAAGAAACTACAGACATTTATTATTTGTGCTGAAACCAGAATCTTTCTTTCCAAACAGATTCTGCAGTCAGACGGCGGGAACTACAGCGTGTGTGTGAATGCTGCAACTCTGGCGGTGATTGACGCAGGCATCCCCATGAGGGACTATGTGTGTGCCTGCACTGTCGGGTTCGTGGATGAGACGCCCCTCGCTGACCTTTGCTATGCAGAGGAAGGTGGAGGAGTGAGCTCTCTGGCCTTAGCACTGCTGCCCCGGGGGGGACAGATCGCTCTGCTGCAGATGGACGCCAGACTACATCAGGATCACTTAGAGGCTCTGATCGAAGCTGCCATGACAGCTTGTAAAGGTGTGAGCAAGGTGCTGGATCAGGTGGTGCGGCAACATCTCCAAGAAGCTTCTGTGCCTTCTGCAGAGTGATGGGCGAAGAGGAATGAATATCTAGACTGTGGATTTGGTTTCAGGCTGGAAAGTGTTCTTGAACTGAATGGAGAGGCATGATGGGAAGAAAATGTGGACTGAATGTTTTTTTTATGTATCCATGACAATTATACTTTTGTACAGTCTATGTGTGCTGAAGCTATTAATAAATATATAAACCTTGCATTATTGGTGTGTTGTTTGATCATATGTGAGCAGTTGCACTTAAGTCTTGTCCTTCATTCAAAGTCCAGACAACAAGCATGAACATTCTTCAAGTTTAATGTAAGATTTTAAAGGTACAATCCTCGACCCTAAATTAAACATAATGATAACCATGGAAGAATAACCTCAGATACAAAAGATTTTGAATTATTTGTTTTTTGGACTCAAACAAATAAAATAAGTCCTTAAGTTTCTATTATTTATAAAAGCACAAATCTGGCCTTTAATAGTTACACCAATGGTTTAAGACATTTTTTAATTAATTTACTTTTTTCGAGAAATGTATTTATATCTCTGGGTCAATTTAATGTAAAATTGTTAGAACATTTATTTATTTTGTATTTAAAAAAACAAACATTTTAGATTTATTCAGTGGGAATAGTTTTATTCAGAGCCGTTTGTGGCTCTGGTTTTATATTATTCCCTTTTTCACACCGGAAGCTGGTCCGCCGCAGTAATGTTTCCGCAGGAACAAGGAAATTGAAAACATTTAGCAGCGGTTTCAGAAGTCCCACCTCTGCAGGTGGATGTGACCGGCTTTAAACTGGAAAGAGGTTTGTCTTCATGCATATAATGATGATAGATATTTACATATGAACCACGTTACTATTCATAATGATCACTTTCGCAGAGGAAAACATTTTAATACATTTTTACACTCTGGCGAAGCCATTCAGCTAGCTAGCAGCAAGCTAACCACAGCTGACAGTGGATGACAATGGGTGGCAGGAAGCGATTTATGAACTCAAGCTGAATGGAAATATCTTTCATCTGAATTTTGGGTCGTCATCAAACTTAATATATCATTTGTTGTTTGTTTTCTGCCTCGATCAAAATGGATCGCTCATCAGTTGCCAATGTGTAGCTGATATTTAGTGTAACAGTGCGTGTGTTGCCCTCAGCCTCCAGTGTATCAAGGAATTTCGTTGCAACGGACAACAACATGGGACTGCTGTCGGACCCCAACAGGAGAAGGGCTTTGATCAGCCTGCTAACCCGCCTCAATGCCCCAATCTGGTGAGTCTTTAGTTTGAATGTGACAATGCAAGTGTACTTTATTACAAAATGCAACTGTGCACAAGCTCCTTTGATGGAAACATGATTTCTCTCATTCTGAGATCTATTACCTCTTTCCACTAATTCAGAACATTTTTATTTTCTCATTTAAATTAATGTATTGCTTTTAATGTGTGCATTTTCAATTAAGCAGTTTTGTCTACCACTGTATCATTTAGTATTTTTTAGTCTGCATCTTAACATTTTGAATGTGTCTCTATATGGCCTCCTTGAATATGAGATGATACTCTCTCACTTATGATTTCTGTCTTTATTTCTATCCACTCCAGTGTGGTCTGCTACATGGCGGCTGTGGCCTGGTTCATGGGCTTAGCATTTGAGCCATTCACTCTGCGGACATACATGTCAGAGAACGCCATGGGGTCTACCATGGTGGAGGAGCGCTTTCCAGCGGGGGAGAAGGCGCTGGCCACAGGCAGAGAGTTTGCAGCACATAAGAAGAAAGCAGGGTAAGAAACACAAATAACGTAAATACAACATGAAACATTTCATAACACTGATTTGGACGCTGATTTTCAAGAGTATGGAAGGTCTGCATAGAATAGACTACTGGGTTATTTTCTAGGAAATATGTCTGAGCTAGGGCTTTATAGTTAGAAGTTGATCAAAATGACAAAATGTACAATGATATTTCCAAATTGCAGGAAGTGTTAAAGCGAAATAAGTCTCAAAATATGATTCTGACTTAGGTTATGTGGTGCTGAAAAGATCCTGGTCAAAATGTATTTAACAGATCTGATGGTTGATCTTGTATTATTTGTAATCCATTTAGATATTTATTCCGAATCAATCAGGCCTTAATCTATGCCGTTACATTATTCACACACTAGTAATATGAACATCGATGAGTCCTTTCACAGTTTGATAGCATTTTAAAAGTGTGAAATAATATTTGTTTTAATCCACCAGTCTAATTTTGCAACTTGTGTCTCTGCAGTGGGATGCCAGTGGACTGGCTGGTGAAGACCATGCAGTCTCGCGGGCTGGAGGTGTTCACTCAGAGGTTCTCACGCACGCTGCCCTTTCCCGATGAAAACAAAGAGAGATATGTACGTTTTTGATTGAAGTGTGAAGGATACATTTTTTCTCGAATGTTTTTTCTCATTTATATCTAAGCATAATACTTGTTTCCTCTTCACCTCACTCCTCTTCTCAGATGGTAAAAGGCACAAATGTTTACGGGATCCTTCGGGCCCCGAGAGCTTCCCGTACTGAAGCCCTGGTGCTGAGTGCCCCCTGCACCCCCGGTGATAACAACAACCAGGCAGTGGGGCTGCTGCTTGGCCTGGCACAGTACTTCAGGAGTAAGTACAGAACTCACGGCCCTCTCCACCATTTGACTGGCAATCATTTTTTTGTTTTAATGGCTGCTGTGTTCCTCAATAGGTCAGGTGTTCTGGGCCAAGGACATCATCTTCCTGGTGAATGAGCATGATCTGATTGGTATGCAGGCCTGGCTGGAGGGCTACCATCACACCAACACTACAGGTAACCACCAGCAACCAGACACAAACTGTGCCTGGCACAATGACTACTTTTATTCGGGATGTTTCAGAAATACACAAACGATTATTGTCATTTTGAGAGCATTTTATGTACAAATTATATTATAGCATAATAAGGCAAGCACAGCCTTACAAAGAATACGACTTTTACTGAAATAAAAACACAACCAAAACAATAAAGAAAAAGGACTATTAGGCTGGATTAACAAAAAGTGCACTCTAGTTTCTTAATGGTTAGGACCTTAAAGGTAAGTTAAATACAAGATATGGTAAGATTGCTACTGTAAAGTTTATAAACTGTCTCTCTTCTGCTAACAATGAACAAATATCCTTGTAAGTATTTTTATCACCCCCATACAAGACTGCCTCCTCAGTGGACTTTTCTTCTGTAACGGTGCCTCTAGGAATGGACTGGTCTCCCCTTCAAGGCCGCGGTGGTTCGATCCAGGCCGCTCTGTCTCTAGAGCTCAGCAGTGATGTCATCACCAGTTTGGACCTGGTACTGGAAGGCCTCAATGGGCAGCTCCCCAACCTGGATTTAGCCAACCTCTTCTACGCCTTCTGTCAGAAGATTGGAGTCCTTTGCACCACCCAGGGCAAGGTAAGCTTGTGATGAGATTTAAACCTGCAACAATGTTCTCTTTTTGGTGAGCAGAGTGGTTAGGACCGAGGGTTTATTTAGCTGTTTCCTGTGGATGTTTCTATAGCTGCAGAGGAATGACTGGGACAGTGTGTCGGGGTACAGCCATGCGGTTCAGACCATGATGCTCATGGTGCTGAAGCAGGCCAGCGGGCGATCCTGGGGGGATCACGGTCTTTTCCTGCGGTACCACATTGAGGCTGCCACCATCAAGGGCATCAACAGTTTCCGTCAGTACAAGACTGACATCACCACAATTGGCAGGTCAGAATAAACATTTGTATTTAGGCTTTGACGTGCTTTTTTTGTATAGAACTCACCTTTATAGGCTGACTGACACCTCATTTCTGTTTTTATTGTTTCTCGTCCTAATTTATAGGCTCATGGAAGGAATGTATCGTAAACTGAATAACTTACTGGAGCGCCTACACCAGTCCTACTTCTTCTACCTCATGCCGTCCCTCTCTCACTTCGTCTCCATTGGTTACTACATGCCGGCCTTCGGCCTCCTCGCCATCATCCTGCTGCTTCGTGTATCCTTTCACAATTATTTTAATTGATTTGCCCTGATTGCATGGGGTTGGGGTGCTAGTGGAGCACGCTCATGAACTGTTTGCCGGAGCCTCGCAGCAGAGTTACTGCGGAGCGCATAAAGCAGACCCTTCACGCGATAGCAGAGCGAACAGGTACAGAAGGGGTAATTAATCGATCGCAGATGGCGTCGTACTCGCGGACGGATAAAAAAAGATTAAACTTAAATGGGTCGCGAAATATAGGCCTACTTTGACGGACGTTAATATACCTGGGTGGCCCCGCCCAAGTAAAGTCTATGTCTGGGGAACCCTGTACAGTATTACATTTAACAGTAATATAATGTATGTGCTTGATGTCGGATTTGCCCTTGACTATGATACAGGCTTTAGATTTGTGGGTTCAACTTACAGCTCCACCGCCGAGAACAGAAGACGGAGTCGTTGACCCTGAGCAGGTTAGACACAGATACAGGTCTGAAACTAAAATACTTATCTCGAGTCTATTAAATCAGTTTCTTAAAAAATCTGATCTGCTTCCTCCCAGATGTCCAGTCCAGGAGTGCTATCGGTGCTGACTCCTCTGGTGATCAGCCATCTGACCGGAGTGGCTCTGTACACGCTGCCCATCCGCTTCCAGGAGATGGCTGTGGAGCACTTCCCAGTGTCTGAGACCGAGGCTGTGGTCCTGACGGCTATAGCTGTGTACACGGCAGGCCTGGCTCTGCCTCATAACACTAACAGGTAGATGCTTACACCTGCAACACTCTGATTCAGATATAGACTTGTTTTTCTTTTTGTAATACTTACGGTAATGACGAATGTCTAAAAAACAGCAAAACATGTTAAGTGATCCACTAGCAGGGTGTAGTGCACTTAAGCCATTATTTAACCAAACTGTTTTGAGTACATTGCCAGGTGTTTATATGTCTGTTGTAGCTTTACAGGTACGTAGCTCATTACGTTGAGATTCAAATTCATGCCGAAATTAAATATCAATTTAAGCCCCTGGTCCAATTTGGTGTCATGGTTAGTGTGATTTTATCACAAGATGGTCTCTTGTTCAATTCAATTAACATTGAGGTTATATCATTTTTGAAGAATCTGGAAAAAGAACAGATTAAAAACAGATATTTACTTAAGCAAGTATGACATTTGGCCCGAGTGACCTTATGATATAATTTGTGGGCACATTTTATTTCATTTATTATATTTCAAATACAAATTAGTTTTACAAAGTTACCAACTAGTCTTTTTTCAACTAAAAGCTTTAAAATATTTCCTGTCACAAGCTCAAATACATACAAACCCTTACTTTAACCAAACGTTCTGCTGACATCTGGCTAAAAGAAACTGACATGTACAGAAGTTAGCTAAGACCAAGAACAGAGACAGTTTTGTGGGAAACTTGTACAACCTTTGTTCGTCCTGCTGTCTGTCGTAGGCTCCTGTCGGGGGGGGGCACGGAGCAGGGCTGGAAGGTGCTGAAGCTGGTGGCCGTGCTGTACCTGGCCGTGCTGCTGGGCTGCACCGCCCTCATCAACTTCTCCCTGGGCTTCATCCTGGCTATCACCCTGGTGCCCGTGGCCGCCTTCGTCACACCCCACGTCCCAAAGTAATACACCTGCACACACTGGTTGCTCATTGTACTGCCATATGTTCGCCAGGTGGAAGTAAAACCTTGCTTTTCTCCCTTTTAGGTTCCTATCAGCCTTCATCATGATCGTCCTCAGCCCGGCCTGCACCCTCCTCTTCTCTGTGTTCTTCTTCCAGGAGCTGCAGGAAATGCCCATCAGCTTCCTGGACGGCTGGATGCTGTACCTGTCAGTCATCTCTCAGGGCATCCTGGACCACTGCCTGTACGGCTCTCTGGTTTACCCGCTCATAGCCTTGCTGGTCTATCCCTGCTGGCTGATTTTCTGGAACATCCTCTTCTGGAAGTAAATGCTAAGTCACACAGGACTACTGAGAGCTTTTATTGTGATGATATAAAACCCTCTGAGGTGTTCTCAGGTTTGTCTTCACCGGTGGAAATGTGAATGACAGTTTAACCCACTGGAGAGATTGGAAAAGAAGAGGATGTGGCTTTGGTAGAATACAGTGACTGCCTTTGTCTGGACATTTTGTCTGTGTTTCACTCTTCAAACAGTGGAGAAAATTATTTATAAACTAAGCAGAACGGACTGTTTTGTACTAAACATCTTACATAATTGATTGGAAGAAGGGATGGTCTTTTCACAAGTAACATGTCATGGTTTTCTGTTAAACACTTTTTGGGATGTCTTTGTTTGGGATACATAATGAGTCCATTTTCTTTTCTTAAGCTCTTTATCAGGCAGGATTGTAATGCATGAAAGAAAACAGTAACAGGAAACAGCTGTTGGAATGGAAGAAACAATTTGTTGGACATCTGCATCCTTTAAGATGTCTGTATACACTACATCTTGTATTTTTATATTTGTTTTGATAACTTTAAGTGAAACATGTTTTTCTGCTATTTATAAATGCCAAAATAAAGACTGACTTTGTTTTAAGCATAATACGGTTATGAATATGTCCTGTGTAACGCCGGAAAGCCTTTTATGTTTTCCAATTGCGATCATTCACGTGAGTTGTTGTACGATCCAAATACACTGACTATGAAGAAGTACCCCAAACACCGCTCAAAACATCCAAACTAACATTCTTTTTTCATTTTAACCTGGTTCATACATACTTCATCAATCATCTCAGAAGAATTATCAAAAATCAAATGGAATTAGTTTAATTTGCACTATGTTTATTCAGGTAATGCACGTTTTTACAGTATAATGTACTGAAAACAGATCATTCCATTGCTGTCACAGCTCACAGGGAATTGAGTAAAATTAGATCAACGGATAAAATGTACATCAATTACTCAATGCATCTTGTTAAAAATAATACACTCATTACAATGTTATAAAAAAATAAAAGCACTTGACAACCAACCCTGTAAACGCAAAACACCTTCTCTCATCAGCCATGGCTTCTTATTTTGCTTTAAAACCACCAACATCATTTGGCAGATAACACTTGAACAAACGGCACAACGCTTTTCTCTCGCTTCACAGTTGGCGAAAGTTTTAACATTCCCTCAACTTCAGCCGAGATCAAATGCAACAAACTTCTGTCCAATTCTCTCACCTAAAATAAATATCAGGCCGTTTGTGTTGATTGTATCACACTCACCCTGTATAATAAATAACAAAGAGTTCTTGCCAAATTCAGATGTATGTCATGTTATGTGAAGATAACAGGTCCAAGCTCACGCCCCAGTCCACAGTTTATAGTCCGAGCCTCCACCAGTGCAGCTCTGTCATGCTACAGTGCTTCAGAGGACTCAGTGCACTAGTCTTTATGGAAGTATTTTGTTGTTGAGCATCCTCACTCTGTGTGTGTATGTGTGTGTAAGTCAGTGATACATGGCAAGCTGGCGATGGGCAGTCAGCTGCTGCTTAAACCAGGCTCTCCTCGATCCTCTCTTCTTCCCTTCTCCTTTGTGAGAGAATGGTAAACATAAAAGCGGCAACCGTCAGTTAATATGTAACAGGAAGTAGAACACAGAGGTGTTTCATTAGTTATGATGCAGTACCTGCTGGATGTGTGCGTCAGGTCTGGCTGTGGCACAGATTTCGCAGCCCGGACGGGTCGGCTTGTTGATGAAAGTGCATGAGGGACAAGCCCACTCTGTCTGCTGAGAGGAGGGGAGATACAACAGATTCAAGAAGGAATAATTAGGCTTGTTATCAAATTGTAACCTTTGCATTTATCTCATAGATAACATTTTGTAATGCATGTATATGTGTATGGACACACTTAGCAGTTTTTTTATTCAGCATGGCACTAAAATATAGATATTATATAAAAAGCCCACATTGTGTCTAAGTACATAGGACGAAAAGTACTATTCCCACTCAAATAAAATAATTTGTATATTTACTCTTATTGTGTTTAGTGCTTCACAGACTGCTTACATACCTGTGTTTTAGTGGCTCTGTTGGTGTGATCATTCAGCTGCAGGTTATCTATGTCCAATAGATTAGTGATATCACCAGGTCTGTCGCTTCCTCCACCTGTGCCCCACAACAACGAAACAAAACAAACACTAGAGTTCATAGAGCTGTACTTTCTAAAGTTTACAATTAGCCTAGAACATTTTAAAAAGTGACACTTTTTCAAAAACAATCACCATAAGTGCAATGACTGTTTACATCCCCATCTGATCACCCATGTAGAAAGGGAAGTTTCAAACGATACTTCAACAACCTGACGACCATGATTACTGGACTGAAGCTTTATGTTCATCCTCAGTGTCCTGCAGCATTCGTTAGTCTATGAGTCATACACTGTTCACCTAATATGGATGTCATAACCCCTAAACACCCTTAAACCTGAAATGCAGGCCCTTAAAGCTCATAATAATTTAAATTCCAAATATATCAAGAAAATGGAAATAAATAAATGACTGTTGTAACTATGACATGTTGAAGTTACCCTGGTTGTTGTGGGGAAGCCTTGAGGGCAGAGTACTGTAACCCCTCCAGTCTTGGGAGGTGGGGCCGTTTCCTGGGGGGAGAGGGGGGGCGAGGAGGGCGCTCTCCAGGTCCTGCTGGAACAGCTGGCGGGTGATGCGGGCCTGCCGGGCGGAGATCAGGTAGAGGTACGCCGTGTCCCCGTCCTTCTGCACCCCGTAGGAGGCCAGAGACCTGGGCTCGGTGCACAGGCACTGACCGATCACCCAGCGCTGCACCCGAGGGTGGAAACCGTACTCCAGAAACACCTGAAGAACCAGGGTGTTGGCAGTAAGTGAAAGGAAAACCTTCAACACCTATTTGATTGGGTAATTGGCCATTTTCTTACCTGTTGCTTGAGTGTAGCCACAGTCATGTAAGGAAAAACTTTCACTGTGACACAACAGGAAGACGACACGTCCTCCACTACCACGGATACACTGAAACAGATACAGATACAGCACTATAAGTCTAAAAAACACATATCCTGGAAGCAATGTCTCCCCTCAGGTCAACACTTTTCTTTTCTTACCTTATTTCTCCCTCTGCGTAGTTCTTTTCAGACATCTGAATCCTCAGCACAGCTTTTTGCCGAGCCAGAGTGGAAGCGTGCTGCGAGGCGGCCTGAGTATCGCCTGCTTCAATCGCCCGGGCGAGCTCCAAGCAGAGCTCCTCTAAAAAAAGGAAGAGGTAGCAATCAAAAGTGACATTTTTAGAGCATGTTCTGAACAGAGAATGAGAAAACGCACACAGGTAAACAGAGGAACCCACCAGCGAGCGGCAGCGAAGCGGAGCTCCACGGCTCCGGTGCTGCTGCGCTGTCAGTGTGTCTGCCATCGGATTCACATGTTTTAATATTCGCAACTGTCAGGGGAGAGAATTGAAACTGTGTTACAAAAGTGCTTAATGCATTTGTCAACACAAACAATTATCAAACGAAAGCAACAAGCAACTCCTGAATAAAAAAATGTAAGAGACAGTTATGAATACCCTTAAAGAAGGATCTTAAATACAGAAATGGTTACATTGTTGTTGTTGTTGTTGTTACATATTTGAGGAATAAAGAAAATAAGTCTCCAAACCTCTATGTGACTCTCTTAGTGATGACATCACCACCGTGGCCCACTCCTCGGCCTCGCGGTCGCAGCGGAAGTTGAAGCGGATGCAGTCGTGGGGCGGAGCGACCAGACGCATCTCATGGCTGCGGGCGCATTTCACCTCGTACTGCACCGAGCGGAGATCAAAGTCTGCGATAAACTGGGGCGGGGGGTAAATACAAGTTAATCTCAAATGGCTTTTTACTCTTAAACCTTCACTTTTTTATAGCAGCAAATGTTTGGTACTTCACTTGAATAATTGATCTTGTTTTCTTTTCATGGATGAATTGCTGATGATGACAACTTTTCTTAATTTTTCATCCGCCAATCAATTTGTGATGAACTTAAATACATTTACAAAATGTGGGTGCAAACTGCATTACCCTTTGCAAAATATAAATATAAGAAAAGCCTGCCTGAACTACGGCAAAAAGCAAATGAGATGAGATGAGACAATCTGCCCTCTAACGTTCACTGGAGCATCATTGTAGGTAGAAGAAAAAAAGCAGAGAGGGATTTTCCTCCTGCCAGAGAGTGTATTTATGCTCTGATATGATTCTGTAAGAACAGTCTGCCAGCTCAGACTGAAAAGTTAAAGGAAGCTGGCATCAAAGCAAAAGTATGCAAATCAAGAAGCATCTCAATTGCCAGAGGGAAATCTGTCTGGCTCGAGAATTCACCAAGATGAAAAGCCAAAACTGAGCCTGTCAGATCTTTTTTAGGATAACAGCTCACAGATAACTTGTAAAAAGTACAGAATGGAGAGCAAAGTTTGGTGAGACAGGCAAATCGAGGTCAAGGTCATAACACTTAACTACAGTTGGTGCTGATGTAACCATCCACTGTGTTAGATGTAAAGAGAAGGGGGATGCTTTTACAGAGATGTTCTCTGTACTCAACCAATGGTTTTATCTCTAAAATGTCTATATAAGATAAGTTGCTTGATTTATTCGACCAACAGTCCAAAACTTTAAACATACTACATCTAGCCCAGATATGATGAAATAGAAGCAAATCATCCCACTTGAGAAGCTTTAACCAGCAAATGTTTGCCTTAAAATTAGAAAAACAAAAGCAGATTATGAAAAATAATATAATATAATTGCTTATACTTTTTCTGGAATGAAGTAATTGACTTGTCATTCAAGCAGTACAACTGAGAGTAAATGTGCCTCCTATGAAAAAAAGATCTAATATAGTGTTAAAAGATAAGCTAATTGTAAACAAAGATAAGAAGAATACAGATTTGTCCCCATCATATCATAACCAGAGGAAATGCTCAACAATATAAAACCCACAAGAAAAAAGGCAGGGAAGAAAATCTGACAATATATTTTTTGAAATAAATATAAGTTTGGTTTAAAGAGGTGTCCTCCGCCAATTTTACAGATGAGAATATTCAACCTTGTCACAAGTAGGAGTAGGCTACTCAAAACAGTTGCATAATCTGTGTTGTAACTCTGGAGATTTGTAAAGTTGTAAAGTATAAACTTGGATTGACAAACATTTTGAAAGAAAGTCAACCACCGTGGCTTTCTTACGGTGGCATCCTAAATAAAGTTTAGGTGTGAGAGATGAGAGCATTGACCAGAGAGAGACGGTCTAATGATAATTGTGTTTAGTTGTATTATAGGAATTGTAGGACCCAAGGCTTATTGGGAACTGCTCCTGTTGACACCACTTAAAACAAACAACTGAAGATTGAAGAAGACACTGGTAGCTTTCCAAGGCAACAACGAGAGTACATACCACAAAACAAAGCAGTTGGGAGAATCAGAAATACAAAGCAAAGCATTGCTATTTTCAGACCTTTACCTGTGTAATTTACTGAACATTTTAGCATTACTAGTAAACGCACATGGTGTCTGTGAGTTTGCCATTTCATGCCAGAGTAGAGCTGTGAATCCTTAAATTGAACAAAAACTATGCACAGATTAATTGCCAGTATACAAAATCCACAATTGTCCTGGTCTAACCTTAGTAACTCAGTTTTAATAGTCTCTTTATTTTTTATCTGATGAGGAGAATAATGAGAGTATCTGACGCCAATAATTCCCTCTGCTCAGCCAATGCTTGAATTGTCAATTCCATAATTTGAAGGGATGAATATAGACTTTATGATCACACCGTGTGACAAGTCTGATGGTATCATATGTCTTTCTGCAGATGACAAACTAAAGGCTGTATTCTGCTTGGAAATTCCCACCTGACAAGGACAATCTTACTGCACTGTAAGATTTTCCCCTGATGATGTTATCATTCAAATAAAAACAATTTTTGGTTCTGGGAAAATTGAAAGTGAAAGTGAAACTGAACATGTCATTAACAGGTGACTTCGTACTGTTTCTAAGTTATACAGTATATCATTACAAAACATGGAGGGCATTCATGGGTGGTGTAAACGCTTTATATACACAAGCCTACAATACAATCTGATATGTTGTTTTATCCCAAAATCTGGAGCTGTGGAGCTGTATGGTAGTGCTGCGTAAAATGGCGTGTACAGGCCTTTAATGGTTTACAATTTTAAAGGATTCACTTAGGTGGTACATATAAAGCATGGTAGGGGAACACACCCTCCAAACACACAGGTGTATTAGAGCATCTCTTACCACACTGCGGTTTCCGCTGGTGTCCCTCAGCGCCAGTCGGAACTCTCCGGCCCGGCTCGGGTCCATGCTGAGCTGCAGCCGCAGAGCCTCGCTGCCGGTACCGGGGAGGCACAGGGGCCGGATCCCGGAATGACACACCGACACCCGGACTGACATTAACACAGTGCTGCAGCAGGGAGTAAACGCTGTCCCGCCGCCGCCGCATGCAGCCTGCTGAGACGAGGCAGGCACCGGGGCTGGAGGAGCCCAGCCGCCCGAGCTGAGAGCCATGTCGCGGACACTTCAAGGCGGAGTGAGGGTGTTGAAGCCCCGCGGCAGGTGCTACTGCGGCCCGCTGCTTCTGTGCGGTTTACAAGGTCCACCGGTGTCTGGAGACAGCGCGTTTCTTCACGGGGAAACTGTGGTTGACTTCTCGCCCCGCGAATTCCATTTCTACCCGACCCGAGCAGAGGGGTAGAAAGAAAAACAAAACAGGAAGTAGAAAGGTACGTCTTTTATTTATGTCCGTGGAGAAACGTGTCTATGGAACAACCGATCATAATGAACCTCTTGAATTAATGAAATTCATACAAAAGCTAAAAGTGGTAGAAAATATAATATATATTATATATATTTATATCAATTTAATAATGGTTTTAACAGCAGATAAAGCGAAAGAAAGTGGTGTAAAAATGGTTTACTCCACTACATTTAATAAAACAAACTAATTAATTGTATGCTTATTCTAGTTGTGTAAAGTAACAAAGTACATTAACTCAAGTACTGTACTTAAATACAATTTTGAGATACTTGCGCTTTTCTTGAGTATTTCAATTGTTTGCTACTTTGTACTTCTACTCCACTACAACTCAGAGGTAAATAGTGTACTTTTACTCCACTACATTTATTTAATACCTTTAGTTACTTTGCAGATTTGTATTAATAATGTGAAATATTTTCAACGCTTGAATAAGAGTTTAGTTAAACCTGGAGTAAATCTACCATGCAGTATACAAAGTAATTAAAACTAGCTGCACCTTTACCAGCTTTGATAAACACATTAATGCATCAATAATTATAATCAAAACATATAATATATCATTCTGAAATTGGCACATTTTCACTTGTGGTACTATAAGTATATTTAGATTCTTATACATTTGTACTTTTACTTGAGTCACATTTTGAATGCAGGATTTTTACTTTTAACAGAAGTTTTCTACACAGTAAAAGTAATACTTCTACTTTTTACTCAAGTAAAAGACCTGAGTACTTCTCCCACCTCTAGCTTATTCAGATGTAAAAATATTTATTTAAAACAATATATAAACATTTGGTAGAAAACTGAATGAATGTATTCTTAATTTGTTATTAAAATATTAAATGAATGTCCTAATATTAATCTATTACTATGATACCCATCTTTTAACCAGTGCCAATCGTTTACCTAGTGAAGTTAAACATTACTTACTCAGTAATCTTCTCAAATAAATCTGACATTCATACTACAAAAGTTACTGATAAAAACCTTTGAGCATGTATTGCAGTTGTTCAGCATAATTTAAAAAAAGCCTGAGAGTATTTGTAGGTGTCAAATCCGTGCGTGGAAGTTAATATTTAAGACAGAGGAAAATGATTACACAGAAGCTTGTCTCTAACCTGCACTGACTGTGAATAAATACCAAATATCCTCAATGTATTTAACTAGAGATCATGTATAATAGGGAATTATTTATTTCTTCCCTATTCAAGCAACACATAGTTTTTAGATAGAAATAGAGGGTGGCCTTTAGGACTACATCTGTGTAGACCTGTATTGCTCCTTCTCTGATATCATTGCCCAAGCACTAAAACCTGCAGGAGATCAGTCCGAATCTGAAGAACATGAAGAAGTTAGATTCTACAGTCCTCGCCAGACGAGCAAACCAGATCAAGGAAGAGCTCAGACAAGTAAAGAAAGGGGTTATATTATGGGGGTTATATTATGTTGCATTGTTGGAGAAGCCTGTGACATAAGATTTTCAACAACATAATTACTCTGTAGCTATGTCAGTTTGACAATAAAGAACCTTGAACCTTGAACCTTATAGCCATATTTGCAAAATGGTTTCTGTCAGCCACTTTTCCATCCTGTTGTTTTGCTTTAAATTTACTGTCTGCAGAAATTGAGAAAGCCATACAAGCAAGTGATAGATCTGTACTGGGGAGACCCGCACACTGCAGGTGTGAAGCCTCTGTCCTTTGTCCGACAGGTAATCTGTAACCTTCAAAGTCCATCTTTAGACTGTATTAAAATTCATATGCAGGTTCATACATCTTCTGGATACAAATGCATGTATTATCTACTGTGTGTCTTCTCATTTGCAGGTTCTTGCAGCATGTCTTTACCCTGATCTTGTGAACAGCAACACGCTTCCAGTGGACGTCAGACAGAGGGTTCAGAGGTTGCTTGGAGAATGTGCCGGAGGGAGTGTAGGTAAGATATGTGCATGTGGTATTATTAAAATGAAATGTTATGGAGTTATTGGATATCTGTCTTCAAGATTTCTGGACCATTTAACCCATTCAAATAATGTTTTTACCATTACTTTTTCTTTTGCATTCAAGCTTAGTTATTTTAAGTTTATGGAACGAATACATTACATAAAGCAAACAGAAATCCGGATACCTCATTTTGCAACTAGGACAGAGATGTGTGTACTATGCAGATATATAGATATAGATAGAAAATTGGGATTTGATTTTGTTCCAGCAGCAGTGTCAAGCATCACATGAGTTAAAAATGTTTAAGAGACATAATAAGATACAAATGTAAAAATAATAATAAATTACATTAGTGGCAAGTATATATATAGTAAGAATATAAATAAAAAATTCAAAATGCATAATATACGAGTAGGTAATAAGATATACAATATGATAAAAAATATACTGAAGTATATTGTTTTTGTATACACATACATGTGCTGCAGCCTTGATGCATGTTTTAAGCCCTATATTAATAAAACTGTGTAATTGTTATTATACAAATACAAATTAATATAATGATGTAGCATAAAACAATGTTCTAAAATAAATCAAATGAAAATACAACTATTTTAACTTATAGCATTATTGCGTTTCCTAAGCTTTCCTGGTTATTCCTTCAGGTTCTTATACTGCTGCAGCTGGCATACCAGAAATAGTCCACAGAATCTCTGAATTCATAACCAAACGAGATGGCGGGGCTCCATCAGACCCTAAAAACATCTACATCAGCCCCGGCTCTCAGTGGGCTCTCAGGGTAATAATCACTATTACTGAAATACTGTCCTACTATGTACTGTGTCTGTTCCTCCTGCGGATTATCATCATCTTTGAGTTAAATTAATATTTTCGTGTGTTTATTAGAACATTCTCAAGGTCTTGGTGAACAGCCAGGCTTCCCCCAGAACAGGTGTGCTGACTCCAGGGCCGTGCTACCCCCTCACCAATTTTACAATAGAAGGGTTGGGAGGAGTTACTGTCCCGTACTGCCTCAGCGAGGAGCAGGGCTGGGAGCTGCAGGTGGAGGAGCTGCATCGAGCGCTGGACTCTGCAAAGGGAGTCTGCAACCCTGTCGCTCTGTATGTCATCAACCCTGGAAATCCCGCAGGTAGTCAAAACCCAACAGAATTGGCATCATCTAAGTATATATTTGTATCATAGAATATTGTATCACATGATTGTTTCCATGCCATGTTTCCTGTAGGTTATGTTCAAAGCAGAAAGACAATGCAAGAGGTGATCCGGTTTGCTTCAGAGAAGAGGCTCTTCCTTCTGGCTGATGAGGTCTTAAAGCATTGTCATCTAACCAGAGAATTCATCAAGAGTGACATAAATGTGTAAATAAACGCTTGAATGTTCTGTGATCTCCTCCACAGGTCTATCAGGAATGTGTTCATGGGGAAAAGAGTGAGTTTCTCTCTTACAAGAGAGTTCTGTCTGACATGGGTCCTCCTCTCTCAGACACGGTGGAGCTAGCATCCTTCCACTCAGCATCCAAAGGCTTCATGGGAGAGTACGTTCTCAGTCGTACTGTCTGCGCTCTACTTCCCGAACAATAGAATACAATTAAAATGATTATTTAAGAGCGCAAACTTGGACATACAACAGGATAAATTACACATAGATTAAAGTCAGTGAAGCTAATTTATTTTAGCTAGTTTTCTGACAAAGAGTCAACTGATGTTTTGTTGTGCTGTTGTTTAAGGTAGCCTACATTTTAGGCTCACAGTTGGCAAAACGTTAATCTGGTTTTGGATTCTTTATTCTCTAGTGAGGCTTGCCATAATTAATTAATTATTCATTGACAATGAATGAATACAAAGGGGTCAAGTATTTCTGAAGGAAAGAAAGATAATGTCACTACAAGATTGACAAGATAATAAGTTCTAAAAGTGCTCAGACAATACAATTGAATGAGTTTCTATAACAGCTGGGCAAACATATGAAGATCAGGCTCAGGCAAACATATGCAGATCAGGGACTCTTCATTTTTCTCTCTCCCCCCAGGTGTGGTCTGCGTGGTGGATATGTGGAGCTGGTAAATCTGGACCCTGATGTTATGAAATGCATCGACAAGCTGTTCTCCACAGACTCCTGTGCTCCTGTGTTGAGCCAGATTGCCCTGGATTTGATGACGAGCCCTCCACAACCAGGAGATCCATCGTACCCACTGTATAGTGAGGTGAGTTCAGAGATAACTAATTCAGATTTCTATTTTGCAGGATGCCTAATATCCTGGTTTTCTCAAGCAGTTTTAAAATAGGAAACCTCAATGATTGTTATGTTATTGCCTTTAACTTCTGCAGGAGATACAACACATCAAGACTATGATGGTTCATAATATAAAGAGAGTCTTTGAGGTATTGAACAGCCTGCCGGGTTTCTCCTGCCAGCCGGTGGAAGGAGGTGCCTTCGCATTCCCCAGACTGCATCTTCCACCTAAAGCCATTCAGAAAGCCAAGGTTATATATCTCATAGAACCAAGTACACACTGCAAAATCACAGCAATACCACGAAGAATAGATACAAGTGTCACATATTAATAATTTGGTTATGTTTTTGTTTATTTTAGGAAATGGAAATGGAAACAGATTTGTTCTACTGTATGAGACTCCTGGAGGAGGCTGGTGTGTTAGTCCAACCTGGCATGGAGAACGGACCAAAGGAGGGCACCCTCCACATCAGGTAAAATATTTAACTGCCTACTAAGCAAAAGAGTATGTTTCAAGTAAAAAATTACCAAAAATGAAGCAGTCTGTAATACATTAACGCACATCCATAAGACATTACAATGTGTTTATGCTTTGTAACATTAACATCTTTATAATAATGCATGACAACTCATTAGGTTTTTAGAGTATTAAAGGTGGTGGACACATTTTAGTAAGGTTTCAACATTTATAACGCGTTATACTTCAATGCCAAAGGGATCACGGCGTTCATGTAATTGGTCATCTATTAAAGGGCATGAAGCAATTTATTGTTATAAAAAATGATTGTTGCGAAAGCTAGGTACCTATTTGCAACCCATTCTAACATTAACCCAGTAGCTCAGCTCACCTTTCTACAGCAATGTCCTGCTTCACTCTTTGTTGCACAATCACAGCAGACCAGGGAGATGGGCTTCTATTTCCCCACTCTCGTACCATTGGACACTGTTGGTCTGATGTTGTGCGGTTTTAATTACAATTTACTTGAAGCAAGCATACACTACTCAAAAGTCCTCGTAATTATGTTTTAGTATCATACAACTGCTTATAACCCTTAACAGTCACTTTACTTTAAGTCCTGTTATAGCATGTAAGTGATGTTTCTAAGACATTTCAGAAACGTATCATTTATAATCTGTTATGATAGATCCGGTCTTCATAATGTGAATGGCTAAAGTACTTAGAATATGTTGTGTTGGAATTTGTTCATACAATGTCACTTTGGCATGGTATTATAAACACATTATCAGGTCCTATGAAGGTGCTTGTTCTGCATTACAGACATGACCATCATTGAAAGTATAATTCAGACATGTTTATTCAGCATAAGTGGACTTTTTTCCTTCAACTCTTTCTCTGTGCAGATTCTGCATTATGACCCCTGAGGACACCATGGAAGAAATACTGAGCCGCCTGAGCAGCTTTCACACACAGTTTATGAAAGACTTTTCTTAAATGAAGGCACTCAGAAAAAAAGTCAGGAATTATTATTGTTTATTTTGTTATCTATGATCAGTTACATAATGAAGCTGAAACAATAAAAATGGTCTGATAATTTACCTCATGTTGGCATGTGAGCATTTTTTGCAATAAATATGACATTCATTATTGCATGCAGTCCGTTTTAATGACCTTTGGTCTAGGTCAAATTCAACTTCTGTTTTCCAGAAAAAACAAATATCCATAAATTACCGAACACATGCAGTCCAAAATCCAAACCAATGGATTTCTTCACATCACATGGAAGTTCATCATTTACCTAAACAATAACAGCAGCACACTGCAGATAACTGTGGGGGCTCTGCTCATATATACAAATATTGACTTTCTTTTAATAAAAAACATTCCCATGAGACCGCCATCCTCTTTGCTTCCTCTATACCAGCCAGCAGATTCTCCACACTCCAATGAAAGCCCTGGATGCCATTAATCCACCTCACTGTCACTGTGGTGGGTCTGAGCAGAAGGGTTTGAGTCTGTGTTGTTGAGCAGCTGTACCAGTAAGGAGATGAGCTTTCCGTCTTGAGAAGAGTTGATGATTGCGTTACTGGGGTTGCTGAGGTTGCGGTACATCATGCTCTGAATGGAGGTGCGTAGCTGCCACAGCAGCTCCCAGGTGTCAACCGGCAACTCACAGCGCACCAGAGAGCGTCCAGGAAATGACACCTCCACTCTGTCTCCGTTCACTGGGACAGGAGGGAAAGGACAGGGTTATTTATGAAGAGGAGAAATGACTGCCTGTGAATCTAAGAAGGTGATAATATGTTATTGCTTCTGATGAGCATATCTACATAACAGTTTGTAGTTATTGTATTGAGCCAGAGCTTTTTAATGCACAATCCAAAATAAAAAAATGATGTGTTAAAAACATGGCAAATATGTCTATGGAATGGAAGACATATATATATATATATTTATATATTAACAGATATTAGAAAACAAGGGCTATCAAGATCTTGAAAGAAATGTATCAGTTAAAAAGGACGTCACTATTTACAAGTTAAACCTCGACTAACAAATGTTTTGTCTACCACTGGAAGAAGCGGCAACAAGTTGTAAACACACACTGACATATTATCACCTTTATAGTTGATGCTACAAACTTGATAAGAAACAGTTGGCCATTTCCACATTTAGCAGTTACAGAGCAACATTAGCATTCATTTGGATTTGTTTTTCTCGGCTAACACAATATGAGATTAAATAATGTGATGACATTAAATCCCTATTCATTATGATTATCAGGGTTCTTTGCCCTAAAATCATTTCCCCAACCACCTAAAAGCACAGTGCCTTTGTTTTTAAAATCCTATTTCTGGAGGGCAGTACACGTCCTACCTGTTTCTGTGATATCGCAGTCTGTGAGCAGCAGCAAGGCGAGGGGGTGGACTGTAGAAGAGTCTCTGATGAAAACAGTCCCGTTTGACTGGATAGCGTTGAAGAAGGTCAACCAGCGACTAGGGAGCTTTTGTTTCCCTCTGCAACAAAAAAAAGCAGCCAACATTTTTACATATGCAATACAAGAGTAAAAACTTGGTGTAGTTGAATTTGGGAGTTTGTTCAAACCTGTTCACTGAGGAGCGGTGAAGATGAACCGGCCCACTTTGTGTGCGGTAGACGATATTGTTGGGGCGAAAGCGGCCTCCTTTGTCCACAACACCTTTCTTCACCTGAGAAAAAGGTAGGAGTTGTAATTTGTGGAGGACATTCTTAAGAGAAAATTATTCATGGACAAAGTTTGTCTTTTGTTACATTTAATAAAGTAATAAAGAAAGTCATTATACAAGTGAAATCGATTTAAAATGCAGAAACAGAGCAACTTCATCCTCAGAGGAAAAAGAAGTTCTGCACCCCGAACACAGCTTACAGTCACACTATATATTCATGAAAGGAAACAGCCAACTGGTCCTACATCCCATCATTAAACCATAAAACCCCCTTGTCCTTAACCATTTGCAAATCCACCTTTTACACTTCCTTTTGCCCTAACGGAAATGTAAATCCTTAACATATGTCTCTGTTCAACACATACAAGACTAAAAATACAATTTAACAGAGTAAAAGGCAATCAGAGTTTAAGACTATATGTTTCAAATCATTATATGATAATTTAACACGACATAAGTGAGCTTTTGAGAGACATCAACCTCAAAAACTGGATCTTACTTCATTAAGATAATGATATTGGCACTTTAGAAACGTCACCACTAGAACAGAATATTACCTCTTCCTCTACAGTAAGATCTTAATCTCACAATTCTGGCTTTAACCTTTGATGGAGAAGAGCAGGCAAATAATAAGTATAATATACTCCTTTGTTGCCATGTACCTGAATGAGGTTGGGATAGAGTCCAGCCAGCAGCACAGCTTTAAGCAGCTCGTCCTGGTGGCTGTGCTGGTTGTAGAGCGAAGTGCTGTGCTGGCAGTCCTGTGCACGAGTCACCAGCTGGGCTTCATGCAGGTTCTCACCGAACTGCATCATGAGACCTGCAGAGTGACATCACAACAACAGAATGATTTGATGTAAAAGAAACGGTCAATTAAAATGTGAACAATGTGTGTGTGCTTGTACGAACCATTGATGAATTGAAGACTGAACCTGGACAGAGTGTATCCTTGCAGATATTGTTTCAGGTCCTCTCTGTTCCCCTTATGCTTCACTGTCCTCCAGCCCAACACAGCTCTGATTAACACCAGATAGTCGCAGAAGCTGGAGTTGCTCAGATTCTCTTTCGCCTGGACACAACACGAATGTTAACTAATTACTACCTGACTTTACATGGTGTTGTTTTACAAATTCCTATATAATATCGTAAAACCTTGTGGATGATGTGGGTTTTACCTGGCAAATAAAACCTCTGTTCTGCATGCTGTTGTAAAAAGGGTCTCTGGTCAGGCAGGCGGCTACAGACAGCATTGGCAGGACACATCTGAACATGGCACTCAGGACCAGCACTTTGCCCAGACGAGGGTCACATGACATGCAGGACACACGCTCCCCTAAAGGAGTCAGGGTTTCATTCTTGTCCAGAACTCCTACAAAAGAAAAAAGATTGACAGAAGAGATATTAAGCTCAGTTCAAGGTTCTTACTTGTGTTGTAGGTTTCTACTAGAACAGGTTTATATGCTGTCATCTTCAAAAAACACATTTTATTCCCCCCTCAGGCTGTCTGTTTGAATATACCTGTAGTGAAAAAGTAGGTCTCAAGCTGTGGACAGAGATACTCAGTCGCAACAGTAAATTCTAATCAGCCTGTCAATATGAATGGATGGTTGCCATGTTTCTGACCTCTAAACAAGGGTAGTGTTATTTAACAGTTTTTGGGTTGTTGCCATCCAGATAAGTATGTGCACAGGCACTGAAGTGTTTTTGCATGATTTCATTTAATGTGATTCATGATATGATAAACAGGTTTCATACAAACCAGTTTAACACACAAGAAACGTTGCTCATATCTGACCACACAATCCAGAATATCACTCACCAATGTCTTGTAGATTACGGACAGCACCTCTCACAGCTGACTGCTCTGGACTGTCCAATACTTGGGATAAGAAATCTGCAGCCTGCACACAAACATACACAGAATTACATTATTTAGACGGCAGAAAAACACAAGAAAATGACGATTAAAATAAAAATACACCAAAGCCTTTTGTTCCCTTTAAATACCTTGCAGTTAGGACTGTGGATTTTAGCTTGAACAACTAAATTCTCCAGTGAGGTGCGCAGGATCTCCGGGACGGGGAAGGGCATCATGGTTTCCAGCTGTTGTCGAGGGAACAGATGGTAAGCCTGTCCTGGTTGACATCGCCCTGCTCTCCCCTTCCTCTGAGTCACGTTAGAATGAGAAATCCAAACTGTGTCCAGACAGGAGACCTGGAAAACCAAAAGGAATCATACTCAGAAAGGACAACAAATCACAAGGTTTGTCTTTGTAGATCTGAAAGTGTGCATAGTAAAACTGAAACTGTGATGCTAACCTTAGTCTTTGGGTCGTAGTTCTGTTCTTTGTGAGTTCCTGTATCCACCACATGGACGATGTCATCGATGGTGATGGAGGTCTCAGCGATGTTAGTGGCGAGGACGATCTTCCTCTGACCCTCTGGGGGGCGCCGGAACACCACCTGCTGGTCCGATACTGCTAAACTAGAGTGCACTAAAAGAAAAAGGGAAAATACAATTATAAATCTTCTTTATACTTGGAGGACAAAGGCCGCTCTTTGTAAACTTGTCTCATACTTACATGGCAAGATCATCTGTGAGCCGGAGGAAAAGTGGTGCTTCTGCTCCAGTTTCTCTTGAACGGCCTTGATGTCCTGCCATCCGGGGAGGAAACACAACACTGCACCTGAAGCATGAGGGAAGATTTTTTTCACAAAAATAATGAAGATCCATCTCCTTAAAAGCATAATTTTAAAAAGCAAAATCTGACAGTTTGTCAGATAGTTACCTGGGTCTCCATGTTTGTCAATGTGCTCGATGACATCAGCTATGAAATCTACATTTGGTGCGACATTGTCTTTTTCTCCCTTAAACAAGATGAAATATAACATCATGAGACACAAGGGACAATAAACTCTGAGCATACTGAAGTAGGAACACATAAGACTCCAGTCTCACCTGCTTGTCTTTGTCCCCTCTCATTTGGACTGGCGGTTGGAGTCCCATCTCTTTTATCACATCCTCCAGGTATCTGTCCTTCACTGGGTGCATGAATCCGGGGACTTTAACTATCGGGCAGCCCCCAAAGTACTCGGACAGCCTCTGCTTGTCCCCAGTAGCGCTCATAAGCACCACCCGCAGGTCAGGGTTGTCCTCTAAGGTGGAGCGCAGCAGAGCCAGCAGCAGGTCCGTGTTGATGTCCCTCTCGTGGACCTCGTCCACCACCACGTGGCTGATTCCCTTCAGAGACGAGTTGGACTGCAGCTTCCTCAGCAGGACGCCCACTGTGAGGAAGAGTAAAGCTCCTCCGCTCTGCTCTGGTGGCCGGCTCTCAAGTCTCACCTACGCACAGAAAGTAAATACTTAGTTTTTCTACCGGAAAACACTATCCACTAAGTGAATAACCATTACAAATATGAGACAACAAAAAGGAAGGAACAAGCTCTACAGTAACTTAATCAAATGTATATTGCCCGTCTTAAAAGCCAGGAGTCTACGGAAGTCATATTCACTGCAAGTAGTGACAAAAACTATCTTCTTGGTGTATTCATTTCATTTTGATCAAATAATTAGCTTCAGAACAATTTAAATAAATACGTATATGTGTGCTTGCCTATTCATCACAATACCAATGCAAATAATAAAAAAAAAACATCTCCATTACTCAGAGAATACTGGACGTGAAGATTTGAAACACTTTCAGTATGATTACCTTAGATGACATCTATAAATGTATAGATCTATTTTGTGTCACAAACAATTTGTTCTGAATTGGAATAAATACAATTTACATATTTGTAAGTGCCCATAATTGAAAGAAAATCAGCCTTGCTAGTTTTGACCAAATGGTAAACAGTATTGCTATTTTTATATTTTGGCCTATTTTCAAAAACAATCATTAATTCAAGCGGAAAAGGTCATAGTTAAAGACAACAAGTCAATTCATAGTAGAAAATGTACCATTCATTTTATGAAATAGTTTAGATATTTGTCAGACTGCTTTCCCAGTACAGAAAAGAAGGCCTACAGAGGCTACATTTTAATTTTGCATTCAAAATGGCCATTGACAAATTGTAAACATGTTCCAAATACAGTACTCTATAAACGTGTATCTACCTGGTATCCCACAGTGCTTTGTAGAGCTGGACCCATCTCCTGAGCAACACGATGGGCCACGGACACAGCGCTGATTCTGCGAGGCTGGGTCACGATGATGTTGCAGTTTGCCCCCTCGCCAGCCCTAACACATTCCTCCAGCAGGTAGCGGGGGATCCGTGTTGTTTTCCCACATCCTGTTTCTCCATCAATCACAACGACCCTGGATGACTGCACCGCTGAGATCACCTTCTCACGGTGGGCATCGACCGGGAGCTTCACACTCAGCCCAGGGTTCATCTTCTTCCAGTCTCTCTGCAGGCGGGAGTTGAGCTGCCTGACCTTATCTTCAGACAGAGGTCTGTACGGCTTGCCTGTGATGGCGTCCGTCAAGTACTCCTCCCCTTCCTCTTCCTCATGGCTCAGCGTCTGCTCTCCTCCTGTCTCTTCCTCCTCCCAAATCTTCTGCACATCTGTTTCCACTGGGTACTGTGAAAACATTAGCCATTAGTACACCTCAGTGTTTCCCCTACCATTGTCATGGGGGGGCGCTGCGCCACCCCAATGGAACCCCGTGCCCCCCCCGAATATATATATATATATATATATATATATATATATTTCAGTTTCGACTTGGCGCGTGCCAAATCGAAACTGAAATAATCTATCTACGGTCTCTTTTCACATTGAAAATGTGCTCTTTTATTAAATAAACTAAACGCTTATGTTATTTATCCAATGTATGTGCATGTTTCAGTGTCCACTGCACTGCTTTGCACATTCACATTCTGTCCTCCGCTCTGTTTCCGAAGGGCGGGGCTCCGCTCCCCACACACACATACAAATGCACACACTCACAATCAGAGACAAGAGCGGAGGAAAGGAGAACAACAAAGTGTAAAAAACTCAAACAAATCTGCATTATAGCATGCATCAGTGTTTCTTAGGTTCAAAAGCACTAAACTCACAACTTAAAATGAAAGTGTTTAGTTTATTTAATAAAAGAGCACATGTTCAATGTGAAAAGTGACAGTAGATATAGATTAGTTGCAATTTGGTGCTATATATATATATATATATATATATATATATATATATATATTAAAAGAAAGAAAAAAAAAAAATATATATATATATTACTACCAAGACAATGGTAGGGGAAACACTGTATACAGTTTAAAAGGAGAGTGATTAGTAAAATATGCATAAATAAAAAGAAAGAATGCTAACAAGGTAACATAAGATAAGAGAGAGGAGTTTATAAAATAAACAAGTTTAAATGATTTGTTATTGGTTGTGATCATATTCTAAAGATGTTTGGATTATTGAAATATATACAGTTCTGTTTCATGAGTGTTGAGAGATGTACCCATAAATCTCTTCATCTTGTGCTCAAAGTGCACCAGATTGATGCATTTAACTAATTGTGTCCCCCCCACTTCTCAAACCAAAGTAATTCCCCCCCCTGCTTTTAGCTCATGGATCTGTTACTTAAAATGTTTCTCACCTGATACCTGAAGCAACAGATACCCACCAATGCATCCCACTTGATAAATGTAATCGTTACATTTCTACAAAGACCAAAAGATGATGATAAGAAAATCTCTAAGTTTTTTATCACATGAGGTGAAGACTGACCTCTGCAAAGTACCCTCTCATGTGCTCCTCCAGGTATTGGGGGACTTCGATGGGGTGGGGGCGTCTCTCCCGCTCTCCAGCCTCCTTCACCTTCTCTTGATTGTACTTGGCGTGAGTCAGAGTGTTGTTGTTTTTGTCCAGTAGCTGCAGCTCCTGGACCAGGTGACATGATGCAGGGTTTAGCACAGCTCTAAACATTGACGTTAAAAGTACAGTAGATTTTACAAAATGATCTTTACCTTCAGTTTCATGCAGGCGAGCGCTGCAGCCATCCTCTCTGCTTTCACTCGGCCGTTCGCTGTGGCGGAGAACTTCATCTCCTCTGGCCAGCGCAGCGTCAGGACACACTTTTTAAGCTTCCCTCCTGTTGTTATGAACTGCATATTCTCCTGTAAAAATTGAGAACCCCAGGCAGTTAATAACACATGATGATGTTGTCTTTGCTTAGTTATAATTGTGCAGTCATGGCAGTTGATAAAATGGTACAAACCTTGAGTCTGTTGGATGACGTGGCCAACTGGATGACTTTGACGAGGAGAGCTTTAGGTTGTGGAAAGATGGAAAGAGCTTTAGAGATGTCGGAAGGCTCTTCTTTGGGAGGCCATTGATGTTGTTCCACCGCTTTAGTTGTAGGCACAAATACATGATTTGTCCATGATTTGTCCTCCTCATTATGTAGTTGTGATTGTAAACCTCCCTTGCCCGATCTCCTCAGAGGGAGCTGGTTATTTGGACCAATGACACCCATTTCCTGCACACACACACAAAATAAAGTAAGTGATGAAATGTTACTACAGATTGGAAGACAAAATGATGTCTACTTGATACAGTCTGAGGTCAATGCAGCTTACTCTGAGTTTGAAACAAGCAGCCGCTGCAGCAAATCGTTCTGCATCGGCTTGCTTGGATGCAAAACCTTCCTCTTCAATCCTGCAGGGCCACAGCAGTGTAACGGTGGCTTTCTGCAGAAACACAGTTACAATATAAAGATTAATTTCAGAGTCATTAGCCCTTAATGGACATGATGTGTTCAGAAGCCCCCCTCCATCCCATTAGGACTTGTGATCTGACCTTGACCCCTGCACTCTCCGTGCAGCTATACTGGATGAGCTCGGTCAGGTCGTTGACTCCCAGTGACCGGCTGATGGTGTTGTTCAGGAGAGTTTTAGGATCTGGAAACTCCTTCAAGAGGCTCGGACTCACGTCACCTAAAGAGTTAAAAAAAAACGAAGGTCACACACACAGCAAGGTCAAAGAAAGCTTTTTTCCATTCTTAACTCAGGTAAACATTAAGGAAAGACCACGAACACAAGCATTAATGTTTCTGTTGACATAATGGATGTCCTTGAGGTTAAACACTGCTGCTGCAGTCACCGGTTATCCAATGATGCTAACTGCTAACTCTTCCCTCACCTTTACTCTCTGCAGAGGATGACTCGTCGTCCTTAAACCCTCGGGCTGTTGTGCTATACCACCGCAGCTCTCTGCCCAAGTTGGACGGCGTTTTACCTCCTGTTTGAAAACATTTTGTAACATTACAGAGAGCTCTAAGCCGCATGAGTACCGCCATCTTTGAAACGTTGTCATCTGCGGTAGAGCCGGTAGAGCAGCGAAGAAAATACCGGAGATGGCGAGATCCACAGCGACCCCCACTGACGAGGAGGGTTACCTACTTCTTGGTTTATTGGAGGTTCTCAAACTATTGTAAAGTTCTCTCCATGCTACTTGAACTATCAGTAAGAGTGTGTATTTCTGTTTCATTCATGGTGCAATGCAATATGATAATTATGTTCTATAATTATTTTGAACTCCACAGTTCTCACTGTTTTTTCCCCGAGTAGAAACATAATCAGAATTCCTTTATTTGTCCCACAACGGGGACATTTACGTTGTTACATGCGAAGAAAATATAACACTATTATATAAAAAGGCATGCACAATGATAGTATTTGAAATACAAATTATTACAAAAACACACACAGGTAGTTATTAAGTAGCAGCAGTATTTATAACATATAACACGTTTAGCAATGTAGAGTAAAGTGTGCTATAACATTAGTTAAATTATTATTGTTACTTAAAGACTCCTGTTACAGTAATGGTTGGACTAACTAGGAGTATTACACATACATTTTATTTACATATTAATCAAGTTGTCAAGGGTAAAAACCTAAACTCCTTAATATCATCTACATCAAAGGCTGTTAAGTAGCCAGTTGAAGTCGATTTTTTAGGGGTAGCCTTTCGAAAATGACTTAGTTTACACAATCATTTGAAATATGTGTCAACATGGTCAGTTGAGTCCTGTTTTACCCTGCATTATATAGTTATGATTTATAAATATATTATTAATAATTCCCCCTTTCCTTAATGTAACCCTGAGATCCAGAGGTGACATTTTTGGAACAGCTGTGGGTCCCCTATGATTTGGACCTAGTTGTATTGCATTGCATTGCATCATTTGGATTTATCAATCTTTATATTAAACAGTGGGATTTTCAGCGACTATGTGATTCTTGGTTGGCTCACAGCTGTTGTGACATCTGGAAAATATCAGGGAAAAACTGCAAGGGCAGCATCTGGGCTGGTTCACATAAATAGCTCTGCATGATAACCCAGTTGGACAAATAAAGGATGGAACGAGCACTTGTCCTCCTCCTGGTTGTAACAACAGGTGAGCCCATTAAACTAAATCCTTCACTGGAATAGATATATAATGTGAATGTGAAGTAATCCCTTTTCTTCCGTCTTTCCTTTTGTTAAAGTATCTGGGTGTGGTGTGCCCAGCTACCAGCCGGACACCAGCCGTGTGGTGAATGGGGAAGAAGCCCGTCCATACAGCTGGCCATGGCAGGTTTCCTTGGAGTCTTTTTTCCCTACTTGTGGAGCAACACTCATTGCTCCTAACTGGGTTTTGACTGCTGCACATTGCATTACGTGAGGAGAACTTCATTTCAACTTAAATTGTTTCTGATGATGCATTTACAGGTTCCAAGGTTCCAACAGAACTCAAGGAATGAAAATGTGACCCCTTTTGTCTGTGATTTAATTCACATTTCTTTTTTTACACTAATACACAATATATTAAGTTTATTATTTTCCAATCCAGATTCCACACGTACAGGGTTGTTCTGGCTGAGCATGACATGAAGACAGAGGAAGGACCTGAACAGTCCATTATGGTGGAAAAAATGTTCATCCATCCCAAATGGAACAAGAACTGCGTGTCTTGTGGGTAGGTAATGATCCCAATATATTATTTTCCAGATCTGTGGTGGATTATTACACAAAACATGTCCTTGAAAAAAGGTGCCTATCAGTACAGTACCGTGTGAGTTCCTATTGAGCAGCAGCTGAGTAAATAGAAGTTTTATAAATGAAAAAAACTTCACCTGTAGAAAAAAAGCTCTCTACACATTTAAATATACTTTGAGACGTTAAAATAAATGTACTGCTGATAGGTTTAATTTTGCCTTTTTAATCATGTTTTGTAGGAATGACATTGCCCTGCTTAAGCTGGAGAAAAGTGCTGTTATCAATGACAAGGTCCAGCCGGCTTGCCTGCCACAGCATGGTGCTACTCTCGCCCACAACCAACCCTGCTACGTCACAGGCTGGGGTCGTCTCTACTGTAAGACCTGTCGCCAATTCTGCTTATCAAGATCATGTGGGATGTAGTGCACCATGTGTAAATAAAACGTAATAAAAGGAGATCCCTCACTCTGTAATATATTCATATACTGTGATGCTGATCAAAAGCAGTTTGCAGGATCTCCTTTCTGAAGTGACACCTTCTCATTCATTTGAGATATTTGTATGTGGAAAAATGTCCTTTAGAGGAGTGAAATGTATTAATGTTATTCAAATGCTATTATGTTATTTTCTCTTTAGCTGGTGGTCCTTCTGCTACTACACTACAGCAGGCCCTACTTCCTGTTGTGGATCATGAAATCTGTAGTCAAAGTGACTGGTGGGGCAGCTCAGCAAAGACAACCATGGTCTGTGCAGGAGGAGAGAGCAAGTCAGCATGCCATGTGAGGAAGAACCACTAATTCATGCTTTGAGTGCAACACAGTTAGCTTTTTATTTGCTCTAATATCTGCCATTACCTCCCAGGGTGACTCTGGAGGCCCTCTGAACTGCAAGGGCAGAGATGGTAAGTGGTATGTGCAAGGAGTGACGAGTTTTGTGGATGGACGGGGCTGTAATACCCCTCAGAAGCCCACCATTTTCACCCGTGTGGCCTCTTTCATCCCCTGGATCAGTGAGGTGAGGAAGACCAAATAAATGGCATTAAGCGACCATGTAATAAAAATATTCAATTTGTGTAATTTACTAACCTAATCTTGTGTTTCTCCCTTTAGACCATGGCCCAAAACTGAAGAAATGCTCAATGACTGAAGAACTGAACGGGCAATAAACTATCATTTGATATTTTAATATTATATTTCTCTTTTATTTTATCAAAATATATACAGATTATGAACAAATATATTCATGACATAAAGAAACATACATTAACATCAGATTAAACAATGTTTGACAACGCCACATGGACAGGATGGAGATAAACAAACACATATTGACCAAAGCATACATTTGATTATGGGAAAACAAAGATTGTGTATGTTTTTTCTATTTATTTGAACATACTAAAAAGGACTTTAATCCAATAAGTAAATTAATTCAAAGTAAATGGTTAGGGTTTCTTTGATAAAGAACATAACATAACAGAATTAAGTTAAATTTGACAGAAATGTAAATACAACATGATGGTTAACTGAATGATTGATGGTTTATTCTTCTTTAACTTTGCAAATAATCAACTAATGAAATACTTTAAGCGTCCTTACCTTATCTTGAATTAGCAACTACATTAAAATGATATCCCGACAAGTGATTATTTGATGGGATTGTTTTCATTCAGCAGACTTTAGTTTAACATCACACTGTAGCAGCAGAGCCTCACAGGTCTGAAGGCGTCCAGGTGAAGAAGTTGATTCCCTGCAGCTCGTCAGGTAAGTACTTCTGCTCCACGGGGCCGCTGAAGGATGGGTTGTATTTGTAGCCTTTAGCGTAGCCCAGTTGTTTCATCAGTCGGGTTGGGGCGTTGCGAAGATGCAGGGGGACAGAAGGCAGGGGCCCTTTGTGGTTCCTCAGACAAGCTTTCACATTAGCATAGGCCTTGTAGACATCAACAGACTTGGGTGCTCGTGCCAGATAGATTACACACTGAGCCATGATCACCTGTTGAGCAGTAACAGAGGTAAAGACTGACTGAAAATCTGATTGATATGACTCAGGCTGCCTTTACACGGGAACGTTTGCGTTTACGCACCGTATGCGTTTTCAAAAAAAGTCTTCCGTTCACACGCATTCGATTCATTTAACGTGTCTGTTCACACGAGACCGCTCGACCCGCTGGAAACGCTGTAGTACATATGCCAGGCCTGTAAGTGGCGCTGCTGCTGCCACAAAATACACCAAAAGCAGCGAAGAAGAACCCGGAGCATGGTTGCCATGGTTGCCCTTCTGTTTATACCCCGCGGTGGATTTAGCAACATGTTGTAGTTCATGTAATTCTCCATGTCCACTTGTTGCTGATGGTTGTGGTAGAGGAGCTGTAGGTTTTGCACTAACATCTGTAGCATGGTCGAGCTGTAGATTTTGTACTAACATCTGTAGCATGGTCAGTAGCAGTAGCTACTGACCATGCTACAGCAGTGAGCAGCAGAGGTGGGGAGAGGCGGGGCTATGGCTTCATCTATCGGGAAATGATCGTATAGAGGCGATTACACGGAGCCGTTTGACCCCCCAGAGCGTTCCGTTTGCAGATCTATCCACCTTGGGACCCGTTATCGTTTGCGGGGTCCGTTTCTATCGTTTTGTTACGGCCTCGTGTAAATGAAAGGGCTATACGCAAGAGAAACTATGCGGATACAACCCGTTTCGTTCCCGTGTAAATGGGGTCTCAGAACCATCACTGATTGGTCAGGAAAGCCTACCTCACATTCAGGCATCCCGATAAAGTGACAAGCTTGAAAGGCTGACACGGCCTGAGGAAGAGCGGCGGAGTCTGCCATACCTGAGGAAGATATGGGACCATTTCTCTGTAAGCACTTAGTTCAGATGTTTTTTCCTTCACTGTAATAAAATAGCAAATGTTGTCTTTGTTGCACTACTCCTCCTATTTTATGATCAAAAGGTCACCAAAAGGTTTGGTACATTTTTGTGAGGAGTCAAGAGTTATGTACATTAATAACTAAGCTTTTACAAGTAAATGTTACTTGTTATGCATTTGAATGTTCAAAACAATATTGTGATCTTACTGTTAATCAGAAAAGGTTTAAATTAGTACAATAAAAGCAAAAGATATAACTTTAAAAAATAGATTACGCATCATAAAAAACAAAAAAGAACAAGACACAATCTAAAGTAGTTGATAAAACAAAAGAGAGAATAAAAACAAAAAAAAAGATTTAAAAGAAGCAAAGGACTAAAGAGGCTGGGATTTTGGGAACAGTCTGTAGCTACGATCTAATGTCTAATTGTGTGCAAGATACAGTCCTGCAAAGCTAGAACCTGATTAACAAACCAGTGTTTTGGGTCTCATTTTGAAAAGTTGGCAGCTGCTTGTTTAATTTTCTGGACGGGGTAAATTATCAAAAATCACTAAATTCAGAGATGATAAAAAGGATTATTTCCATTAGGTCTTACCCACGTCCTCGCTGGCAAAGCGGACCAGTCTCCGGGCCACGTAGAGAGGATCCTCTCCGCCCTCCAGCATGCGGCCCAGCCAGTACAGAGCTGCATTTTCATCGGAGCCTCTCATAGACTTATGTAACGCTGAGATGCAGTTGTAATGCTCCTCACCTTTGTGTAACACACAAAAATAAATGCATCAAGATATGTGAAGTCACATCAAACATTTACAAAACTTCCCAAAGGTCTGAAGAGAAGAAACACCAAAAGGAACAACAGATTAAAGACTGATCAAACTATTTAAAGACAAAAAAACAGGAAGAATACTTTCTCCTTGAAGGTCACTAGTCATGCTGACGGACATTTTCATCACCCTTTGAAGCACGGGACAGTAAATCTCGAGCTTTTGGGACAGCTGAAGGGTTATGCAACAGGACGGAGTGGATGGTCAGAGGATCATAGAGTGGGTGGGTGGGACCAGTGTGGGAGTGTGTAAATGATTGGAGAGGCTGAAAATACAGTCTACTATAATTGGAGACATTTTATATATCACTTTGTGTGAACGCTGGGTGTTACTTAAATGGGTGCACTTTGTCAAATGTGGCACTAAGCAACCGTAAGCACAGCTGTAGACACCCCCAAGTGATATGCATGGTTGAGCTTTCTTCTCATCCCTTATCATTCAGTGATTTGATATGAAAGCCCCGTGACAGGACGCATTTTGGAAAGCAATATGATAGGGCTGTTAAGCTTAAAACCTCAGATTATTTAGATGTTATGTAAAGTAAAGATATTGATGGCAGGTGGTAAACTGAAACTGATGGGAGGATTTAAATATGTGGATTTTTGAAATATGTAGCAATGTGTTAATGGTGTTAATGTGCCTAAGTGCTTTTGTTGACTATGTGACAACCCTGCCCCCTTGTATAATCCTAAAAAACGCTTTGTCCCAGCTGCCTATTACATAATGAATCCTCTTTAAATGCGCAGTGTCAGGGTTTCAAAATTAGACGAATGTCCTCTAATCAGAAGGACATTTTCCAAATCACAGATGTTGTACAATTTTTATTTTGATGTAATCTAAATTTTTTTTTAAAATGACTATACCTTGAACATTTCAAAAATGTCCTTAATTGTTTAAAAAATAACAACCCTTTTTTAAATAACCACCGTGGCCAAAAAAGCTATTTCTACTATTACTATTTTACTATTTATTTGGTGAATCTATTGTGCCCATAGTTTGCACATGGCATTTCTCAGAGCAATTAAGAACATACAAGCCTACCAGCTCTATCATAGAGAATATGGGACCTCTGAAGACCCTCCTTGATGTGGTCCTCCTTCACCAGTATTTCCTGAGAGCCGCCCTGCCCTGAGGGGTCAGGCCGGGCCGAGCTCAGCTGAGCCTGAACAGCCAGCTGCAGACTGTTGAGTCCTGCTCTCGCGTCTCCATCACAGAGGTAGGCGACTGTGTCCAGAGCCTTCTGTTCAATGAAGATCTTTGGCCTGGGAAAACAATCATATATATCAGATATAGGGCACCAGTTGGAATACTTTAAAATATATTCTTGTAAGGAAGAAATAAATAAGAAATGACATTTCCTAATTAAATATTGATAACATCAATAATAAAAAAAAGGTTAAGAGACTTACTAATTTAAATTGACTCAATGCATATGTATAGATCTGTTTGTAACTAGAAACCACAAAGAATGGCGGACATTTACAACGTCCTTCCCAAAAACGTATTTTCATCTTGTGCCCTGTAGAGGGCGCCACAAAATTCAAACTATGCTCAGCCGTGCTCAAGTATACACAAAAAGTATCATCAATATCCCTAGTGCCTCCCTTGATGCTAGCACTAGAAAGGTCTCATAACTGCGCAATAATACGTTTATAACACACTATTAATGTGTAGGTAAATAACACCTGAAAGATACAGTATTAGTCTATCCAGAAATCCGAGGTGTAAAATAATAACATTATCAAGATATATAACAACCTTTGAATTATAAAAAAACGTAGATGACAGTTTCTCTATTTCTCCCCATTTACTCTACCTAATTGATAAATTGGGTGATTCAAATAAAAGCTGTTCATATATTGCATTACAATTTAAAAGCAAAAACTCAAACGGCAGCCTTAAAAATTATCTATAGGTTGAATTTTGTAATTGTATTATAAGCTGTTTATTATGAGCTACAATGGCAATTTAGCCAAGATAAAAGTGAGCCACTCCCGTTGTTTATCTAAATGAATCCAGTGAGCCAGGAACAGAAGACAACAACAGGCTCAACCATCAAATATTTTGAGTTGTCTGCTGACATCCCATCATGATGTGTGTCACTCACTAAGTGTTTGGTTACCAAGGGCGCACTTACTCATCTGATTGGTGTTGCTCTTTGGGAATTGTCTGATCTTGTCCCAGGACTTTAATCCCCAGTGTGGCCACAGCCCGGTCCAGAATGGAGCCCATTGCCTCCACAGAGAGTTTCTCCAGAACCAGCACCCTGCACCGGCTCAGCAGCGCAGCGTTTACCTGGAAGGACGGGTTCTCTGTGGTGGCCCCGATCAGAGTCAACGTCCCGCACTCCACATGAGGAAGGAAGGTGTCCTACAGATACACACACAAATTAACCATGGGAGGAAAAAAAAGGGACAACAATGACTATTTCTAAAACAACAAGATATCAACAGTAGGTATTTGTTAAACTACTATTAGCTGA